ATTGGAACTTGAATTAAAGATATGCAGAAAAAAACTACTTGTGTTACAATATTTAGCAACTGTTGTGCATGAGATGTCACACTGCATTACATGATGTCTTAGTGGCTACATGTTTATATTTACATGTGAGCGCATGCCATATATGAATCCTCTCCCATTCAGAGACTGACAGTATTTATTTATTATTTATTTAAAGTTTTTATATGCGGTCCCCATTGCTACACAGCCTCAGAACGGCTCACAACAACAAATAAATTAAACAAATAGAATTACAATTACAGTTAAAACTTGGAAACACACTGGCTGCATAAATAAAACTATAAATATTAAAGATTATTAAAATACTGTTTGAATAAAAAGGTCTTGGCCTGGCACCGAAAAACAGATAACGATGGCGCTAGGCGGACCTCTCTAGGGAGAGCATTCCACTGATGGGGCGCCACCACAGAGAAAGCCCTCCTCCAGGTACTTTGCTTCCTGATATCTCATATGGAAGGCTCCCAGAAGAGAGCCCCTGCTGCCAATCTCAAGGGGTGGGAGGGCAAATACAATCTTATCCATGTCTACTCATAAATAAACATTCTTGGATTTATTGGGATTTATTTCCAAGGAAATGTATCAAGGATTGCAGCCCAAAATGCTAGTCACTGGAGGCAAGGAAGGGGCTGAACCTTAAAGAATGACAGTGCTAGAAATGCACAGTCACGGCAGTTTAATAAGGCCAAAAGTAAGGGGAAGTTATTCACTAGTAGAGATTGGAGATCCAGCAATTTTAAAATTTGCCTGAATTCTCCAAAAAACACTTCAGAAATCTTTTTGACTCACATTTTTGTTTTTGACCCATTTTTTTCAGCTTGTTCAAACTGGACAAGTGCGCATTTTGAATGAAGAAAGTGCACACTTCCCCCCACCCATCAACTAATGCAAACCAATTCAATCAACCAATGGAATTTTGCAGCATTTTTGAGATCTTCTGATTACATTCAGGATTGATTATGGAACTTATTCCCAAGATTTGTGCACGAAAAGAAAATCCTTATTTACTTGCGTTAAGGGCCAGAAAATAGGGACTGTCTCTGGTAAACAGAGATAGCTCAGAAGAATGTGCGATGCTTGCATCACAATCAATTCTGATTCTATTGATCACTCAGAAAACTGGCAAGTATCTTCCAAGTGCAATGGCATTTTTGGTATGGTGTCTTAGTTTAGGCTAAAAGGTTTGGTTTGCTGTTCCCCATCATTTATGTTGGTTTCCTTTCAATGGCTGCCACCAAGTATTTAATGGATGAAATCAGGTACAGTGGGGGAATTTTACGATTTCAAACATCCCAGTCTTCAAGTTCAACACTAAATAAGTGTTGCAGTCAGACCACAGAATCCGTTCAAATCCTCACTCGGACCGGAAGCTCCCTAGACAGACTCAACCCATTTCTCTTTCAGCGTAACCTATTTCACAGACTGAGATTTTAAAAAAAGGCAAGGGAAGTGTCTCTTCCTGAAACTCATGGAAGAAGAATGGGCTGTAAGTGTGATGAATAAATTAATTATTTTCCAAATAAGATTGTACAGAAGAGGGTCTAAGCTGCGGTTTTGCATGGTCTATTAAGGAACTATATTATATCTATTGTGGTCACTTCCTTCCTTCCCCCCAAGAGGCATACAAAGTATACTTGAATCATGGCTTCTGATATAGCTATTAAATAAACACATACTGCTGTACATCTTTTATATTTTGGGCAACTGCCTGCAATCCCAAGTAGTTTGGCAGTAAGAGAAAAAAGCAATGTCCTTCCAAGTACAGCAACTAGTAAGATGTTCCCCTACACAAGGCTATCTCTTCATATAGATGGTTTCCTATGTACTGCATGGACTTCCAAGTTAGAATAAAACATCAATATCTGAAGCCATTTAAATAATGAACAGGTGGCTTCATTTATATTTTAAGAGGAACATTGATTGCTGGACATCACAATGCTAAATATGTTTTCTGAGCAATAAATCCCTGTGGCACTAGGTTAAGACTTTCCTTCACTTCCAAGTATCTGACAGCATATGATAAGAGTTTAACTTGTTCTGGGAGTAATAATCTTTACTTACTGAGTTGCATAGAAATGTAATAAATACATGCTGAATTCAATGGGGTTTATTCCTAGATAAGTGTGGACAAGCTTGCAGCTCAAGCATCCATGTTTTCCTTTCACAATATAAACATAGTCTGAGAAACCATAGTTGTTGGGTAAGAGTGTGGGACTGGGACTCAGGAACTTGATCTGGGTTCTAGTCCCCACTCAGCCATGAAGCTCACCGGGGAACTTTGGGCTGGTCACAGACTCTCAGCCCTGCCTCAGAGGGTTGTTGTCAGGATTAGACTGAAAGGAGTGGAATTATGTACGTTGCCTTGAATTCCTTGGAAGGGAATAATGTGGGATATGAATAGAATAAAGAAATGACATTTAGTACCACAAACACATCTTACATAAAGGTGGTCAGCTTTCTATTGCATCTCACTTTCTCAGATTATTGGGAGGGGCGGGAGGGAGTCTGTTTCAGGCTGGAAGTTGGTCAGCAAAGTGAACATACATTTCTTGGGTTATTCTGACCTCTAGGTGTTAGGGCAGATGGGGAAAGCATGGCATGCACTTGCCTCCTAACACCAAGTCAATGGAGAGATGGTAGGCAGAGTCACGTCTGAAAGGGAGAATCAGAGAGATTCTCTTGGTCTGATTTGTCCCCTAACAAATGCTGCTCCCTAGACTGTTTGAAATCTTTTCTCCCCAGCTGGGCTCCAAGGTTTAAAATAAACCCAGCTGCAGAAAAAAGCCTGTGTAGGGGTGGGCAGGGATGAGAAATCTTGCCACCTCCATTTCCCAGAAATACACACCCTCCTTCTCTTGCATTTATACTATGCTGTCTTGAGAAATGCAAGTGTGGGAACATATTTTTGCAGAGTTAACATGTAATTCCGTCTTACTTAATGCTTCTAGAATGCATTTGCTTGGTCTTGTCCCACACGCACATCACAGAATTCATGCCTCTGTGCGCCATTTTGTATAAACTACTTCCTCCCACAGTTGTCCCAGAATGAAAATGGTTTAACAACCACCGCCTAGCGACATGATCCTCCTTGTCTTAATTGAAGTAAATGCCACTTTCAGTGGAGCTTAAGCCCAGGTGAGTATGTACGATTGCGTGACTGGTTGGAGGAATGCTGGGTCTTGGAGCACTTTTTTCTGTTTAAACCTGTCTTGGATTGTGCTCTAAGTAGCTTAAAACAGCTCCTAGCTTTTAAAAAAAGCCACAGTATCTGTGGCAGTTTGCTGATGAATTTTGGTAACACACTGTGTTTTGTGTGTGTTTTGCTGCTGCACTGCTAATTTCAGGACATCAGACTACGGAGGAGCACAGGTTCCCTGGTCAGAGTCATTATGAATAGCTATATGACTTTTCTATTCAAATTACAGCAATTGTTTCCAAATGTGGAGCTATTCCTATAAATTAGCATGTGCGAATTTTAAGCAAAACGGTGCCCTCTTTTGGTGATGCATTTTCTCATTTTACCAATGCTATGCTGAATCCTATTGCTATCTACTCAGAAGTCTCATAAAGTCCCACAGGGCCATGCTAACTCCCTTGTGCTTTACCGTCATCACGATTGGGCCACACGGAAACTTTCAAAGTGCAGCCTTACTGGCTAGGCAACGCTGGGAATCGTCAAACAGCTCTGTTTTGTTTTTGGGGTCTCAATATAAATAGCAGTGTGCCTCAAGTGTTGCGTCCTGCACCTTCTCTTCGCTTCGACCCGATGATCAAGCGGCGACCTGTAGCGCCCCGCCTGATTCACTCCACGGAGGCTCCGCCCGTTGCCGGACTTTCTCCCTGGCCTCGGGCAGTCTTGCTAAGTGATTCTTAAAACAGAGATGCGCAACAATAGCTCGTGCCATTGTTTGACTATAGAACTTCCTAAAGCTTTGATGCTTTCCCTCCCTCCCTCCCTCCCGTGGCTTGGCAGCAACACACATCCCCGGGGTAGCGGGGCGGGGACAGGTAGACACGCAAAAAAGAAGTCACGGTCTTCCTAACTGAGCTCTTCCTCAGTGGGGCAATTCCGTCTCCTTGGTCTTTTCGTGGATGATATTGTTTATTTCATTTCTGTACTGCCTTATGGTTGAAGCGCTCGGTAACCTTTGCAGCAATAATGCAGTCTATACGTACAATAAGTATTAGATAAATTTTCATAAAATTTTAAAATAGTTTAACAGCTAAATAATACAAACTAGACCTGTTAAAAGAGCTGACAGAAATGCCCCATGATGTCATTCAAACCCCTTAAATTCCTTCAGGAGGAGGAGGCTGCCTTAATCTGGATCCAAAATCTGACCCACTCGGTGCCGGGTAGGCATCAGTGTGAAGACCATTCCATAATTGGGAGCCACCACGGAGAAGGCTGCCAATCCATCACTCTTCCCCGGCAGCGAGTCACACTCAACTCAGTGCTGCGTATTGCTGAGTGGGCATGTCCAAGAGTACATTGTTAACCATTGCAGGGTATTTGGAAAGAGTGACACCCACCGAGTCCATTATAGCCATACTGCATGTCGGGCCATACACAAAGGTACTCTCAAGTTGTAGCAAGGGTTCGTGTTCTAACTCTAACCTCTTGCAATCCAAATCCAGCGCTCAAACCCACTGTTTTGCATCAGCCAGCTAGAGATTCAGAGGCAGAGTGGAATACTAACAACGGAATGCATATAAACATGCCTTGCACTTTACTGCCACGTTTTTCTTTTGGAAGGGAACATTGTGTTCGCTGCCTACCCAACTTCATTATTTTTAAGGGTCAGTTTTCGCTTCCCTCGCGGAGAGAATAAAACGACGCATGAACAACAAAGAGCCCACAACGCGAAGCTTGTGCGAGTCTATCTCTTAACTCTATGGGTCAAACGGAGTACGGTGGCCATGACGTTATTTCCTCTGTCAACCCGGAAGTGACGTTTGACGTCGACGCTCACAGTAGTGAGTAAGAGGAGCTGGAAAGTAAACAACCCTCGGCTGCTTGCCGTCGTCGTCTCCATCTTTTGAGGGCCGCCGTGCTACTCGTCGTCCTGTGAGGACCGAGATGGGGGCAGTGCTGGGCCTCTGCTCCATGGCGAGCTGGGTAATGTGCCGGACTCGCGGCGTGTCCCGTTTTTCCTCTGTTCCTTAGGGCCGAGTACAGGCGGCGGGGCGGGGAGGAGAGCACGGAAGGGAAGGGCTGGGCGGCGGCTGGAAGCAGCGGCACCTCCAGAGGCGCAGGCGCATTGACGGGTTCGGTTGCGCTCTGCTTCTATTGTACTACGAGATGGATGCCCCAGTCCTCGGTTATGGCGTGTCCTCTTTGTTTAAATAGCAAATCGAACATTTCCGACTCATTTTCCCCAGATAACTATGGGCCCACGACCTTGATAGGCGCTTCCCAATTGTTCTGCATTGGATTTTTTGCAATGCAAACATGCAAGTCATATTAGTAATGAAAAGTGATTGATTGATGAAGCAGCCTCCCTTTCGTATTGGTCCTTTGACATTGACTAATTGACCACTTTGCTGACTTTTTCAGTGAATTAATATGTAGGGTTTGGACACAATTTGTGTGATCATCTCAGATATTTGGAACACGCGGTGATGGCTGCTGCTCTTGCCATCTGCATCTGTAGCTTTCCAAAAGCTTGAGATTTTTGTAATGTCGCCGGGTTAAAACTAAAGGGGCTCCAGTGTTGTAGTATGGGTGGTATTCCTAGTGGAGCTGCATTGCTTCAGAATTCTGGTAGGTTCATATCTTATGCCAGGGTGACTGGCAAAATTTTGAACCATCTTACTGCAGGTGGGAGTAATTTTGTCATACAGGTCCCAATTCTCTGAGTAGTGATAAGTTTCAGGATTTTCTTTGGATGGAGATTGTTGGAGATGAATGGCATTTTGTAATATTTGAGTTTAATTACAAATAAACATATTGAGCTTAACTGGAAGTACATAATTAACAACAGACAAATGCCTCAAAGTTCACTGTTTCCACATAAAATTTCTAAGGCAATATATAATATCTCAAAGATATACCTGGGGCTCCTCAAAAACTTTAGCCCTCTCAACTGTTTTTCTGATACTCTAAGCTTTTGCACCCAAATCCACAGCTTGGTGACTTCATCTCCAGATGAAAGAGATGTTCTCTATAACAGCTTTCCCTTTCCAGAGGAGTTTCTATCCATGATGGACTATCTTTTGATAAAGGGTTAACTCCTCTTAACAAGAAGAGTGTCTGCTGGATAGGAGTAAGCACTGTCCCTTATGTTTTGGGATAACCCACAGTGGATCTGGGCAGAATACCTTTAAACAGTCCTCATTATTTAGTCATGGGATTGGAAGGACTCCCAAAAGGCATCCAGTTCAACTTTAAGCTCATAGCATTATTTATGCAAAGTCAGCATTTTCTGAACAGCTGTGAGGGTGCATGATAATGAGAAACAGTCAGTATGATTTCTGGTTCTTCTTGACAAGCCTCTTTTAGACAAAAGCCAAATCAATACTGAGTAAATGTGGTTTTACAGGAGGGAAATATATTCAAAATTATCTTGAGTAATTGTAGAAGATCAGCTCCTTGTCTAGTTAAAGCGAAATAAGTATAAAAAGACTGCTTGCACTTTTGAATAAGCTCTTGCTGTGTGAAGTTAACACTGTCAGATTGAGAAATGAAAAAAAAATGTTTAACTGTTTGTAGTCATTAGTTTTCTGCACTTGCTAAAATCTGGAAAATTGTCCAGTTAGAATGAAAGCTTATCCTGAGTTGAAAACCATCTCAAATGTGTTTATTTTATTGTAATGAACTCTGTAATCAGTAGTGGAATTACAGAGTAAAAACTTAATATATACTTATTTGGGAGTTGCATTTGGGATTACCTTAACTAAAATGTATGACAGATTGAACAGTTCAGGGTTTAGTTTCATTTTCTTTTCTTTCTTTCTCTTTCCAAGGCACTCTCTAATTCTGGAGATATTAAAGTAATGTTTAGAATTCAGTTTGTATATTTGAAAACAGGGATAGAATAAGAGCATATCTGGCCTAAACTGGAAGTTACACAGTGCTGATGTTGCAACTTTTTTGCTAGCTAGGTGTTGTGTATGACTTGAGACCAGCTTGCTGTTGGGAAAATGATTAATACCTGTTTATAAATAGTATGCTGCTTTTTTCACTGTATGTTGGTGCTGTTATAGAGTCACTTGAGGAGCAGTATTGCAACATCGTATCTGTTTTCTTCAGAGGAACTTCCATGCTTTTAGCTTAATGTGGCAGCATTGTATCAGAAGCTGAATACACTGAGCATGTTTTAATACGGAAATTTCATCCTTAGAATGAATGACCATTCAGGATGAAATAGCATAGGATACGCTTTCACAAAATGTATTTAGTTGATAGGGATACGGTTCTCAATATTGTGATATCAGAATCAGTGCATAGAGAAATATTTCACCAAGCATCATTCTTGATATTCTTCTCAGACTTTTTTTTTTGCTCTTTCTTTCACCAGATACCATGTTTGTGTGGCAGTGCCCCATGCCTTCTGTGTCGATGTTGTCCTAGTGGAAATAACTCCACTATAACAAGGCTGATATATGCATTTTTCTTACTACTTGGAGTGAGTGTTGCATGTGTGATGTTAATGCCAGGAATGGAAGAGCAACTAAAGAAGGTCAGTTTATTCTTGACGTTATTATGATAGGATTGGTGTGCCAACTACTACATTTCAGAGTTTACCCAAAGTTTCTTTCCTCTTCTGGCTTTCAAAACAGCAAGCCTCTGATTTTCTTTGTGGGGAGGGGGAGGGTTTTGATGTTTTAATATTTTAAAATGTACTGGGCTTATTTATAGGCTTGAAGATCCTACTCTGTACAGATTTCAAGTAATGGTTATAACAAAGCAAAACAAAGCAAAGATATTTCATTAATATGTGTCAATGCATTGTGTGCTATTTGTTGCAGATTCCTGGGTTTTGTGATGGCCATGTGAATTGTGATGTTCTAGTAGGGTACAGAGCAGTGTATAGGGTATGCTTCGGTATGGCCATGTTCTTCCTCCTCTTCTCCCTATTGATGATCAAGGTAAAGAGCAGCAGTGATCCAAGGGCAGCAGTACACAATGGGTAAGAAAAACAATACCCTGATTGTATAATATGTTCTATACAGTCTTACCTTTGAGTAGTCCTGGAGTAAAGGAAATCCTGGAAAACTAGAGAGTTACAAAAACAAATAATAAAGTAGAAACATAAGCTCCAACCATATAAATATTTTGAGAAATAGCTTAACAAGATCAGGTTGTAACATTTAATTTACTCATTCTGGCAACTAAAAAGGAGACCTTTAATGGAACTATTTGAAATCAATACTGGAAGAAAGTAAGGCTTTCGGAACATAGTTCCCATCAGAAGTAGTATTCTTCGGCAATATTAGGACCCAGGCATGGCAAAGGAGACCCATCAGCCATGTGATCTTTGAGCCACCGTCTGTACTGATACTTAAGAGACCAGGTGCTGCACTTTCTGTGGGAGAGGATGCCACTGCATGGGCACAGTGCATCCTGGCATAGCGTATTCCTCCAGTAAGAGTGTGCCAACTGCATTGATTCTGCCTGGCTAGACAACAGGTTAGGAAGGTAGAGTTGAAGGCTTCTCCTGTGTGGTCACACATTTGCTGGCATGAACTGTTGGAGAAGTCTCCAAGGCAGGGATGAAGAACATGTGGCATTCCAGATATGTTTCACTATAACTCCCATTGGTCATGGCTGGGATAGTGAGCGGTGAAGGATAAAAGGTGTTGCAAAGGAAGTGTTAATATCCCATTCATGAAGCAGGCCTAAGACTGCATCTGAGAATAGATTTATATTGTGAGATCATGTAGTATTTAGGAGGACCTTCTTGTTGGAGCCACAGAGAGGATACTGCCTTGTAAATGGGAAGCTGTTAAGAGCACTAAAGATGAAGGTGGCACTTCAGTTTTTACTTGGAAGGATATGGGAGGTCAGACTGGGTTGATTGCCTAACACCCCTGGCCTATGCAGTGTAAGTTACCTTGCTAGCATGATTTTTTTTAGTCTTAAAACTCTAGAACTCTTAAGTTCTCAAGTGAAATGGATAAGTGTTTCAAGATGGCTAAAATAAATATATTGCTTTGCGTAATACATCAGTCATTGCAGCATAATCTGAATATAGCCCTGCCATTAGTGAGGATGCTAGGTCTCACAATCCAATGCAGCTAGAGAGCACCAAGCTGGGGAATTTTGAATTAGTGTCAACTGTTTTCAGTCTCACTGTTTCTTTTCTACTGTTAAAGAATGTAAAGGAAATGCGTGCTACATTACCTTTACATTTTTACAAGAAGTCAAGTAGATTTAGCTGTGTGATGTAATATTAAATTCCCATTATTAGTATTTTAATTTTTTTTCAGGTCATTTACCCTATAGTGGACTGTGACAAAAAGTATATTAAAATACTTTTTGAGCTTTGTTTATTTTACTAGTATTTTGTAAACATGCTACATTAGATTACTCCTGGGTGATCTTTAGATATAAACTGAAAATTTGCAGATGCAAATGTCCTGATGTATTCTAGCTTAATTTTCCTGGAAATTTTCCAATTCAAGTAATGGAAATAATGTAAAATGAGTATCTTGAATATTTGTTTAAAAAGTTTTAAAATATTGGCATTATCCTGAGTTTGAGACTATGCTGATTTTTTTTCTCCTCTCAGATTCTGGTTCTTTAAATTTGTCATAGCAGTTGCAATTACAGTTGGAGCATTTTTCATTCCAGAGGGACCCTTTACAACAGGTAAGAATTCACTGAGTCATTTAAGGTGCAATTCTATGCAGGTTCAGTTTGGAAAAAGTCTTACAACTTCCAGCATTCCCAAGCCAGAAATGGTTGGCTGGAGAATTCTGGAAATTGTCGGACTTTTTTTTGGTCTCAACATACATATGATTGCACCCTGTATATCAAACATAAAATGTTCAATAGCTTTTTTCAATGGTACTGAAATATTTAGTTACTATTTACCTGATTTGCATGACATGACAGCCACTTATGGCTTAATTTACCAGTGGGGACTGTCACATGCTAGGCTCTCATGGTGCCATTTTTGTACAGCTTGTTGTGGTTTGTTATGTGCACTCAGATAGCTCAGGTTGATTGAGGATTAGACAACCTCAAATAACCCATGGCTATTTGAGGGTGGGCAAAGCTCAAAGAACCCTAAAACAGCCCCTGCTACCTGGGTTTGCATGATGCAACAAGCCAGGTCGAGTCAGACACTCATGAGCACCCCACACAGTGTGGCAGGCCCCACAAGTAGATTGAGCTAAGGTGGGCTGTTGTGAAGTGTAGACAGAAACTGTATTTTTCATTCTAGGGGAAGTCAGTAGACCTTTTGTTTTGACTTCTTAATTCTCATTCTCAGTATTCTTACTTTTTTAATATAATTACATTTACCCATGTTTATCTGCCATTTTCTTGTCTCAATCTCTTCCCTGTGTTTTTCCTTCTCTTGCATTTACTTGGTAAGCTCCCTCGGGCATGGACTTGTATCTCATTTTTTCTTAAGTTACTTAATACTGATGGCTTTGAATCAGCTAGTAATTTTAAAAAATGAAACTAAGAAATGAAATTCTTTATGAAAAAATGATGTGCTGTCCATTATTTTTCTTTTTAGTGTGGTTTTATGTAGGCATGGCTGGTGCTTTCTGCTTCATTCTTATCCAGCTGGTTTTACTTATTGATTTTGCCCACTCTTGGAATGAATCCTGGGTTGAAAAAATGGAGGAAGGCAACTCAAGATGCTGGTATGCAGGTATGCAGCATGACTGAAATGTGTGATGCTCAAATTCCAGTTCTACATGCCAGAACACTGTGCTGTTGCTTTTCAAACCATAGTTGCTGGCATGGGTGGAGTTAACAGGAGATTGTCATTTTCAGAAGCATGATATTGATATTGCTTACAAGGGATGGAAGAAATGAAGCGATAATAATTGTCTCCCCCCAGCTCATAAGAGTATTTATTTGTAAGCCGCCCCAAGGCTTAGGTGAATGGGGCGGCATATAAGTCCGCTGAATGAATGAATGAATGAGAATGAGTGTATTAGCTGTCACAGTGCTAAGTTGCTGAGGTTGGAGATACACATGCAGGAACCCCATTGGTGCCTTCCTGCTGCTCAGTGTGGTTTCCCATCCTGTGCCTCTCGCTTCTGTACTTTCCTGTTTGCTAATGTGCATGATACCTATGGTTAATTTTACCCCTTTGCCAGGTTTTAAGAGGAAACAGGCTGGTTATCTTAATGGTGTTCAGGGATTACCAGAGCCTAGATTGCTGACATCAAGCTATCTCTGCCCAGGTGGGGCATAACCGAGCCACCAGCTAAAGCTGGTAGAAGGCACTGAGGCCACTTGAGCTTCAAATGACAAAGATGGCTCAAGGAGCACCCCCAAGCCGTGAACCAGTTTCTTCAAAAGAGAGGGCAACTCCATTCAGAACAGTTTCAGATCTGGTCAGGGAAACCACCCACCATCAGCATCTCATTCTTCTCTGGACTGAGCTTTTGTTTGTTAGCTCTTATCCAGTCCATTCTTTCAGCCAGGCAATGTTTTAGCACATCTACAGTGCCACCTCTGAAAAGGAAAAATAGAAATGGAGCTGTGTTCCATTAGCATACTGCATTTCAAAATTCCAGATGACTCCACTTAATGGTTTCATGTAGTTGTTGAATAACATGGAGGACAAGACCGACCACACAGGAACTCCATGCTGGAGAGTTCACAGGGCTGAGCAATATTCCTCAAGCAGCACCTTCTGGAGCTGACCCTTTAAGTAGGAGCAGAACTACTGCAGTGCAGTATCCCCCTCTCAACTCAGATAGTTGCCCCAGAAGAAAACCATGGCCAGTGGTACTGAAAACCTCTGAGAGATTGAAGAGTCACACTCCCCAATCTCTCTTCTCATGTAGCTCATGACACAGGGTGACTAAAGCTGTTTCTGTGGCACAGCCCAGCCTGAACTCTGACGTAAATGGATTGCACTCATCCAAGAGCACCTTGAGCTGGTTGGCCACCACCTGCTCAATGACCTTGCCTAGGAAAGGGACATTTGCCACAGGCCTAATTGTTTGGATTTTCCAGGTCCAGAGATGGTTTCTTAAAGATTGGCTTCATCACCACCTCTTTAAGACAGCATGGGACCACTCCCTCTCAGAAAGCATTGATCATCTCCTCGACCCAGCTACCTGTTCCTGCTAGCTTTTATAAGCTGAGATGGGCAAGATCAATACAAACATAGGTGTCTGGACAGGTTTATACAACTTATTGACATCCTTGAATTCAGTCAGCTGAAACTCACTCCATAAAACTGGACCTGGCTGCGCTCGAAGTGTTTCCATAGACTCCAGCATTGTAACAGTTGAATCAAAGTCCCAGTGGTTGAAAGATATTTTATCCAGGAAGTGCCTAGCAAATATATTACAGTAGGCTTCAGACAGGTTTAAGATGTTCTTGTGAGCAGTGGGTAATAGTCCCTAGGCAAACCTGAATAGCTCTTCTGGGCAGGAAATAGAAGAGTGGGTAGTGGCAGTGAGAAGTTAACCTGTCATCACTGCGCCCAGATGTAGGCACTTACCAGGGCTCAAGTGCATCCCCTGGCTTTCCTCTATCTGCCTTCTGGCTGTCTCCTGTATCTACCTCAACTGTGGGGTATGCCAGGGAGACACATGAGCCCCACTTGAAAGTTTAAGGAGCGATCATGTGAACTTCCCAGGTCCTCTCTGTATTCCAGAGATCAACCAGGGATTCAGCTGTTAGCTGAAAAATCTCACAACACCCTTTGAAAATGAATATGGCTATCAGTACCCACATCCTTGAAAAGAGGAAATGTTGTTGGTGTAAATCTCAATAGGCTCTGATCTGCCTGTGGCAAGGGGACTGATTCAAAGCCTCCCACCTTCAGTTAATTATTCCCATACCTGGCTGAAACAGTCGCATCCAGAGTGTGCCTCGCCACGTGTGTTAGGCCAGTGACATGTTAGGACAATCCAGCAGTTGGAGTCCATGAAGTCCTGAGGTGCCTCAGATAAGGTGGCTTCAGCATGGATGCTACCATCCCCCAAGGCCAACAGTCAACATCATGACTGAGGCTACCTCTGTCAGCTTAGGTAAGGAATCTCTTGAGCAGCAGTGTGGGTAGTGCACCAGAATCCCTAATCTCACTGGCGCAACATCAGAAGCAAACAGTCCAGAGCAGTAGTCAGGCAGAAAGGGAGCCTGGAGATGATGACAACATACCATACTCAACTTCAGGTGTTCTTCATGCTGAACCCAGTACCCTGCTCGGCATAGCTAGAAGAGATTAACTCTTTCCTCTTCTACCTCCCCCCTCCAGTGGTGCATGCCAGATCAGCTGCCTCATCCATTAGTATGCTAGTAGGGCATACAGGTGCAAGGCGGTCCAGGACATGACACTGGCATTAACTTTCTGGACTGTATTTCCTTTACCTGACTAGTTGAATTCCTGATGTCATATTTCCTTCAACCTGTCTCTATGCTAATCCCCCCCCCCCCAATTTCCTCACTTTGTTCCATGTCTGCCTTCTAAAGTATATTCAGGTCTGCAGGAGGGAAGAAATAATTCCCCTGCCATCAAGAATCCTGAGCAACCAAAAGACAAGATGTTAAGGGGGTGCCCTTGCCATTGTAACTCCCCTTGCAGCAGTTCCTCTAAAAGCTGAACACTAGAAAAGTTGTGCAGTTTCAGAGGTGCTAATAAAAACTTAATAGGCGTTAATCTCCTTTCATTTGCTTCTTTACAGCATTACTGTCTGCCACAGCACTGAACTATCTTCTCTCTCTGGTGGCAATTGTCCTGTTTTACGTATATTATACTCATCCAGAAGGCTGTTCTGAAAATAAGGCATTCATAAGTGTCAACATGTTGCTGTGTATTGGAGCATCAATAATGTCAATTTTGCCTAAAATTCAGGTATGAGGTTAGGGTTAGTATTTGCTTGAGAATATGGCAAGAATTTAATCAATTTTGACAGATTCCTATACCATTATTTTACTGTATCTCTGCATGTAGGAATCACAGCCAAGATCTGGGTTGTTGCAGTCATCTGTGATTACAGTTTACACAATGTATCTAACCTGGGCAGCAATGACTAATGAGCCAGGTAAGTGGGCTTCAAAATACTACTTTGCTTATTACTTTCAGACCTGTGTTGGGGCATATTAAAGCATGGCATCAGGGTCAGCCCAGCCAGATTCCATTGTGCACTGGAGTTACCTAGCAAAGGGCTTTGGACAGACACCCTGGCTGTACTTCTAGGGATGACTTACTGCTCATCCCATTTTTCTACTCTGTGTTATAGCAAACATAATGTATTTAATCAGATGATGCTTCTGGTTTAGTCTAAGCAAGAGGCAAATAATGGTTAAGCAAAAATAAGGCTTGTTCAAATAAATATAACAGTTCTAAGTCATGTGCCATATTTGATAACAAACCCCCCATGGGTATCTAAAATATTTCTAAAGTACAACTGTATGCATGTTTATTGAGAAGAACTTGTTGTGTGCATGTCTGGGACTGTAGCCTAGGTAAACAAAAACCAAAATCCATCCCCACAGTTTGTGAACAGCAATAATGTCCAAAAATAATTCTGAAGCAAACATTTACATTTCTTTATAAGGGAAATATTTTCACTTGTGAGTGAGGAAATCAGGACATGTATAGGGAGGCCTGTTCCCCACCTTGGATTTTTTGTGTAATATGCTCCCTAAACGGCTTGGGGACAGGATATCTGAGGGGATGCCCCTCTCAGTATGTCCCTGCCCGTTTATTAAGATCATCAGTAGAGGTCTTCTCTGTGTACCACCCTCCAAAGAAGTGACAGGGCAAAGGGAAAGTGAGTGGCACCTGCTTATGGAACATGTTCCCCCGGGAGGTGCACCTGGCACCATCATTGTTCTCTTTTAGATGCCAGGTGAAGACTTCTTTATTCAAACAGGCATTTAATAGCTGTTTTTTTAACACAATTTTAATATTACGGTGGCTTGTCTTTTCTTGCACTGCCAGTTTTATAGTCTTAGTTCTTGTATTTTATATTTCATTGCATTGTCTTACTGGTTTTATGTGGTTTTAATGAATTGAATTAGTTGCTGCTGTTTAACTGATTTGGGTGTTTTATTGTAAGCCTCCCAGAGAGCCTCAGGGCTGTGGGGCAGCATATAAATGCAAGTAATAAATAATAACTTCATGGTAGACTTAGTGGTATTTGAAACATCCAGTCTTTATGTGAGGGAGGTCAGTAGCAGCCAGGACTCCTTATAGGAAGCTAGGGAGTGGGGTGGTCTACCAAATTTCAAAGAATAAGTTTAGTTTTATGTCTTCTGTATCTGTTGTTTCTTACATATGTCATAGTTCAATTATTATGCGGGTTAGCCAGTGCCAGAATATTGGCAATTACCCATAATCCTCTATTTTAAGAGGCATACTTTATGTCAGAAAACTTAATGCTTTACCAATTTGGTGTTAGGTGCATAGGAAGCAGCTTTCTACTGAGTCAAGCCATTGGCCCATTGAGTCCAGCGGTGGCTGACATGGGGTCTAGGCAGGCCTCTGGTCCCTGTGTGGAACTGCTAGGGATTGAACCTGAAAGTAGTCACTGAAACGGCAGACTTTCTTCTTCCTGTCCCCATCTCCTTTTGGTATTCTGTACACCTGTCCTCTGCAGGGCTTGAGTAAATGCCTGCCCCATCATCACTGCATAGTAGTAGAAGTGACCCAACAGTGTTCTGTTACAGGGGAATGAGCATGTTGCTTGACCATATGGTTAATGCTACTACAGGTGCTACACAGAAACATGTATGTATGTCTGGAAAGGCCCTCATTTGGTTGGAGTTAGTTCTGTAAAAAGTGGTCCAACAAGTGCAGCTTTGAAGTGTGTAAAATGCTGGCACCTAGTCTGACTGCTTAAAGGCATGTGTGCATTATATGCATTAGATATTGCTTCTAAGGCATTGTCTTGCTTCCAAGTTACCGATTTGCCTTCAGTGAGATACTCTTATTCTTTGAATAGATTAGAATAATCTGACTTTCAATTTCTTCTGTCCTCACTGATCTAGACAGACAATGCAATCCAAGCTTGCTGAGCATTATTGGCTATAACTCCACAAGCACTTCAAGCAAGGGCCAGTTTGTCCACTGGTGGGATGCCCAAGGAATTGTAGGACTTGTCTTGTTTTTACTCTGTGTTCTCTACTCGAGGTAAGCAGACCATTTGGAAATTCTTCAACAAGTTTTCCATTGTTAGCAAATAGCCACATTGAATATCTAATTGCACTTCTGAATTTTGCAACTGCAGCATCCGGACATCCAATAACAGTCAGGTAAATAAACTGACTCTAACCAGTGATGAGTCAACTTTGATAGAAGATGGACTTCCTAGAAGTGAAGGTTCACTTGATGATGGAGATGATGTCCACCGTGCTGTTGATAATGAGAAAGATGGTGTTACCTACAGTTATTCATTCTTTCACTTCATGCTTTTTCTGGCTTCACTTTACATCATGATGACTTTGACCAATTGGTACAGGTATGTAGATCTCACAGAAGTTATGGGAGACTTCTATAGACAGACTAAACGTGAGCCAGCAGTGTGATGCTGCAGTCAAGAGGTTGAATGCCACCTTCGAATGCATAACCAGGAGTGTGGCTTCTAGACTGAGAGAAGTATTACTGCCACTCTGTATGACTCTGGTGCACCCGCAACTGGAGTATTGTGTTCATTTCTGGGCTCCATGTTACAGGAAGGATATAGCCAGGTTAGAATCGGAGCAGTGTAGGGCCACAAGGATGGTGGCTGGATTGCAGGTAAAGCCATATGAGGCTGAGGGAACTGGGTCTTTTTAGCCTGGAGAAGAGGAGACTGAGGGGATCTGTTGGTGTCATATAGGTACATGAGGGGTGTCATACAGAGGTGGGTAGAGATGTGGTCTCCCTTCAGAGGAGGGCAGGATGAATTCCAGTGGAGCAAAGCTTAGGGAAACAAGGTTCAGTTTGGATACCAGGAGGTACTTCCTGACAGTTAGGACCCCAGGGTATGGAATGAGCTTCCATGGGAGGTGGTTGAAGGTACATCGGTGAGGGTGTTCAAGGATAGGCTGGACATGCACATGGTAGGTATGTCATGAGTGAAGGCAGCTGGAGCCAGGAGTGAGACTAGATGACCTGGGAGGCCCCTTCTGACTCGTTCTGTTTCTGTGCTTCTCTCTGGGGTCAATTTGTACAGGCTGGCTTACTAGATTCCCCTTTTTTCCTCTATTTTTAGGAGGGAAAAAAGTTTTATGAAAAGTTTTCTTGTGCTAGAAATTATTTGGTAAGCTGTTTATTTTTTTTTTTTTTTATCTTTCTCTCCCAGTCCTGACCCCACCTCTGCATTAATGACCAGTAAGTGGCCCTCTGTCTGGGTGAAGATATCTTCCAGTTGGCTTGGCATTGTTCTCTATGTGTGGACACTGGTGGCTCCACTTGTGTTAACAAACCGTGATTTTGACTAAGATGAAACACCTTTTCCAAAAGCTTTATTTTGTTTTGTTGCTTATTTGAAGCTAACAGTATTCCATACTAAGATGTAACTGTAAATATGTGTGCATGTTTATACTATCTGTGCAAATTACTGTGTATGTTCTGCATGATTATTCTTAGATCATCTTATCTTGGTGTTTAGTGACTTTTGAGTTGTAATTCAGTTGATAATGATTACTACTAGATTTAGGGCCAAACCCGCTTTAATGGTAGTGGTTTCATGGGATGTATTGCACAGTAATGCTAGCAGCAGATGTATAAGAGCTCACTAGCATTTTCTCAATTGGTAGTAGAACAGTGAAGATCAGCAACATCTAATGTGACAAAATCATAATCGATTGTGAAATATGTAACAGCTTGCACAAGTGGAATCAAAGTACTGAATTTTTCTTTTTGCAAGGTTGAAAAAAGGGGTTTCTGCAAACAGCAGAAGCTTTGCTCTAGTATAATGATACTTATGAATGCAGTTCCACATGTGTCTTAGCACACATCTTCCCCAGTTTTCTAGAAAGAGTGGGAATTCTGATTTTTAAAGCAAAATGGGTTTACATGAAGAATGCAAAATTCTCCATGTATCTCCCTGTAGCCCCTTTATTCAGGCTTTTTTCTTCCAGCTAGGCCTCTGATAGCAGAAGGGAACCTCAGAGAGAGAAACATGCACTCAGAATGATTAAAGATAAATCACAGACAGAGGTGGATGCCATTCCACTCATGTATGACTATGTTTACACATAATACGCAAGTATGGTTTGTTAGTGTGACTTGTAGAATCATGCATAGTAATTACATGCAAACCTGGAATTTTAGAAGAAATAGGGGCTTTTAATAATGAACGACACCTGATGAGAATCCATGGTTTGTTAGGTTGTGAATTCTTGAGGGTGGTGGTTCTGTGTAAACCAGATCCATGTCTTTGTGCTTTTCAAATTGGGTCCCCACTACCATTTTCTATATGAAGGGAACATGTTCACAGTTTTAAACATGAGAATGCTGGCAATTCTACCTACTTTGGCCTTTGCTAGTTCAGTGTAGTAGGATTGAGATAAAATGGAGAAGCTTGTTGGGCTTTTCAGACAGGGCTACCCCTTCCCTTTTCAGTAATCTTTAACTTTTGCCTCATTTAAGGGGCAATGGCTACTTTTAGGAAAGCTATCTACTGTGCAGCTAGTACATGCAAGTACTTGCTGAGCAGGGGAGGATTGGGGCCTATTACTTTAAATTATTTTCCTTAACATGTCTGAAGCATCCAGTTGTAAAAGCATCAGTCTGCCAGGCATCGTCTTCTACTTTGAGAAAGTGTTTTGCAAAGAAAACTGGATTCCAATTTTACACAGAAAAGTGATAGACTACCCCACTTGGGAAGCAGGGTTTTTTTTCTGAAAGTTGCTTGCCATGAAATGTCACTGTTAACTGCAAAAATAAATTTCCCAAATATTTGGCTGAGTTCTTTGGGAGCACTTCTCAATCTCAGACTGAGAAGATTTTTAAAAAACTTCAAAAGTATTTTAATGCTAAATATTTGCACCTATAATCAGATTGGGAATTATGAAGCTAGGGTTGGCTTTGACTATCTTCTTGGCCTTGATTGCAAAGATTACTTTGAATAGTGCATTTGGTAAGAGTATTTGCTTTGGTCTGAACATTTCATGCCACCTTTGTATCTATGATGTGTGTTCTGGAAAGGTGAGGGAATTAGCGCTATGAAGAGAGAGGAGGATTGCAAGTTGATGGCCACTTCAGGTGATTGTATTATCTCAAGCTGCAAGTATGTATGGTTGTTTAGAAGAGGCTGATACTGAACTGAATGAAGTCAGATACCAGAGGTATACAGCACTAGGTTAGTTTTAATTGAGCTATAGGAGCTCAGAACTAGTTTTTTAAATTGAATAGTCCATTGACTGGCAGGAACAAAGGGATGATAGATCTAAATGAATCTTAGCTGATTAAAGACTAGTGCAAGGAGAGGGGTGTAGTAAGGAGGAAAGGAATGTATCTAATGCAGCAGCCAGTTTTTGTGATTATTTTTTAAGCCAAGAATGGGGAATTTCTGTTGCAAATTTGATGTCATGCTGCACTGTGACAACACAAGAAACCAGTCCCTTCCATTCTGTTGAAGGGACTAGTTTTGTACTTGTAAATGTGTCTCTGTATTTAAAGGACACGCACAGCTGTAAATGTTTAAGGTTAGAAACTTAAAATGGTGAGAAACTTGCATGGAATTTTTGGACATGAAAAATAGCGCCAATTTTGACCAGGCTTGCTTTTTCAGTGGAATGCAGTGGAATGTTAGTTTTATTAGTGCATGTTAGACTTTACATTCAGTTTTCGTATCAATTAAATCCTAAAATCAAGTGTTTTTTTAACTTAATCAACATTCAAAGGTATTAGACCTGAGGCATGAAATGTGCTAGCATTCCTGCTCTTGCTAACTGTAGTATAGTATACCCTATGTTGAAAATTTCAGATTTTTTGTTTTGGGTGAAGAAAGCAATAATCAAATGCCTTTTATGTACCATTCTGGCCCAAATGTTCCTTGATTTGGTATTTGGTAGCTTAGTTTGCAAGACAGAAGTTGATGCCTCTTTTCCAGTAATACTTGACTGGTTGACAGGTATTTTATTTACAGGTTAATATCCTCTACAAGAATACTATGGTTTTTTCTGTCCAGAATATTACAAAATCCTTTTAATGGTAATTTAGTATTGCTGCTAGTCCTTTGTGTCTGTGCATTGCTGGCAGTGGATTTCTTCGTGGAAAATCCTAAAACTGCAAACCTGGAAATGTTTATTTCCTGTACTAATGCTATTATTTTAAATACATTCAGAACATGCTGTAATATATACTGTAAGGCTGATTTAAATTAAACATGAAAGCAGTTTGGAGGTAGATTTAATATTTAGTCATTTTGAGTGTCTGCTGTAACCAATAAAACTTTCTCACGAGATGGCTGTTATTGCTTGATCTGTAGCTTGCATATGTATTAGTGTCATGGGTAGTGACTTCAGTTTGAGTCTGTCTATTCAATCCTGTGACTTGAGACAGTGTATTGGACAGCTAGTAAAACCTACTTTGCCCCCCCCCCAATTAAGCTCTGCTTTGATTGTATTTACAAATTGCTCAGCATCTCCATGCAGTACCTGGAACTGGAGTTGTAATTCAAATGCCACAGCAATACCATTTGTCCTAGTAGCAAGTACTTTTTGAGTAGTTATAAATACAGCATTACTGTTCTTCATCACATTGTTCACTGTGATGTGGAATGTTAAACACTCCTTTCTGTACTATAGCTACATATTGTAAATTGTTAAGGGGGGGGAGTGTGAAATTATTTCACTCTTGCTCAGTTTCCCTTGGTAACAAGTTCTCATCCAATCAAAATCATTTTGCTACCCTGCTGACTTGGAGACATTTCCCACATTTCTACTATTACTAAGCTAGCAATAGTGGAGTCCAAATGTAGCATTTGTGTTGCCTCCATTTTTTGAAATGAATCACCATTGTCCCAAAATGGATGAGAGAAGCAATGTCCTAGCCAAATTTGAAACTTAACTTTCAAAAACAGACCATGCGAAGTCTAAGCCTTGAAATGCGTCTACTGAAACAGGGAGGGTAGTAGTGATTTCTAACAATTCCTCCTTTTCATCAATCCTTGGAACTGGTCTAGAAAGCTAGACAACCTTCAGGCACACTTGGGAGAAAAGACTATAGGATTTGCAGGGATAGTTATATTCCTCATTCAGCGGGAACCTCTTCTGGATGCTCAGACCTTTCCTACAATGGAAAAAAATCGTTCCACCTGTGGAAGAAACAGCTGATCCAAAACAGGATTCTTCCCTGCTTTCTCCATTATAGCATCAAATGATTGCCAGGCAATCTCCATTGCAGCACAGGTAGACAAGAAGCACAACCACTGAAGCTTTCCTTGCTGTCCTGTTTTCCAGCTGGCTGTTAAGTACTCCTGTATAATTTAGGCAGCAGCCTTTGCCTTCCCATCTCTTTATATTTTCTGTAATAAGGAATGTTTTTAGATGGACTGTTTTTACTGATGCAGACTGCAAACCACCATGGATACATTAGACAAAGAATAAGGTAAAATGTTCCCAGAGCCATAGATACTGTAGGAGGGGTGCTTAAAGCTTCCTTCCCAGGTACTGTCCCTCAGGCACAGCAGCAAACTTGTTGACAGTAATAAACAGGAATAGTTATTTTTTGGAATTCACACTGCATTTTACAATGCTCTTGTATCAGAAAACAGAAGCATTATATTAGTGAAACTACTCACTAAAATGCATTAGTGAAAATAGCATGCAAAAATTCATGTTTGGGCTGCAACAAGTTTAGCACAATCATAAAAAATCTCTCAGCATTTGTTGGCATGGTTTTTCCAGGGTATGTTCTTTGGGCTAGCAGTTATTCGTGATGACACATTATCTGACATGGTGGTAGAGTCAAATTGGTTAATACACACGAGAAGTGCACATGAAAAAATTACAAAGGGTAGTGAAATGGGACAGAATGGACTGAAGATGAGAAAAACGAACAAATGGGCAGGGTTGTTCATCCATACTCATGGCAGCACAGGCATTTTTAATTGAAGGTGGCTGGCAGCATGACCCCTTAAGTATTTCCCCATTATTAATACAGAAGGAAACGAAATTCACAAGCTGTTTCTCTTGTATAATTCCTCCCCTAGAAAAGATTCTTTGCCCACAGCAAACCACAAGAACAATTAAAAAACACAAGTACACCACTCCAAAAACATAACAGAAATGAGTATTAACACCTCCCATATCTATAGGAATTATGCCCTGATGAAATGCAGACATACTCGAACTATAGCAAATGTCATAAATATTCCATGACTATAAAATTAGGTTTAATAAAGCACCATGTTAACTTCTGGTCCCCTAACATAGTTTTATTTAAACAAAGTTGTAAAAATAGAAAACCAAGTACAGAAGAATAAAACTTGAATGTGCTACAGTTTCCATCCAGAATTACTTATGAATTACTTGTCAAGTCATACATAAGGACCAAAGTGAACAAGGAAAACCATAAGTAGTTAATACAGAGCATCTGATTACCTGCTGTTTTCTGAATACATACAATTCAAAATACAACAGCACTAAAGTATAATGAATTGGTGTTAACTGTTGATGGTTTATATAAATATTTAAACTGCTCTCTGACCAATCTTGAGGGAAGGTGATAAAACTGGTTCAGGTTCCACATTAGCTGCTTTCACAAAATGCCATTACAAAAGAGAGAACCCAAACAACAACCTAAATAAATACTGTTTCAGCTTTCTCATTCATTATTCAACAAGGGCATGTCAGTGTCCATTGGCACAGGAGCAAGTTCACACAAGTAAAATAGTGTCGCTTCACTGGCTTCTGCTTCTGTCAATGGTTCCAGTCGAACAAGTTTGCTTTGGGTTGGTTGAGGATCCAGGCCGCTTTCCAGAAGTTCATCCACTTCTAAAGGTTTATCTACAGAGGACACTGACTCAGATGTCCCATTCATACTTTCTGCTGCTGAGCCTGGATTGCCATCAAGGAATGCAAGTAGCGGGAAGGCAGTGTACTGAATGAGCTGCTTATCTATAGCAGAAGAAACAAGCCAAACCAAAACAGTTAACCAAATTCACCAACAAAAAGTTATTGTTTTGGTAGAAAATGACTGAACCTTGTAATTCATTTTATTCAAAAATGCAAGATTTGTGCTGTTCTGTTCACGTCTAAAGGTAAACTGAAAATATGAAAATGGAAGTATGTAACCTAACACTTTCTACACTATCAGAACTAATGTACTAACCTGCTTTGGGGTTAGAATTAGGCACCTCTTGTGTAACTTGTTGTGCACCATTGGTCTTCATTGTTTCAATTCCCTTTGTTTCCACCTATGAAGAGATAATTACACACATCTAACTGTATATTAAACTTGGGAACAGCTAAAACCTGACCAACTATAATCTATGGTTTTCAAGAACATACAAAATGAATTATGTATCTTGAATGATCAGGCAGCTGCGCAGCCAACAGAAAAGCACAACAAGCTGATGCTAATGAATGTATCTAGCTATTAGCGTCCAGAAATAGTGTTCCTTACCCAAATCCCCACACTCCCAGTAAAACTGAAGTCCGATTAGAACAAAACCATGTAACTGCATGCCAATCATTCTAAAGTAATGCAAACCCATTGTTTCAATCAATTCTCAGCTTGTGCTTCTTCCACTTTTTAATAACACACTGTCTGTGACAACTCTCATACTCTACTGCTGTTCCTGCCAGGATAAGCCACTCCAGTGACAGAACTGAAAGCTTAAGAGGTACATGTGTATTTTTTTTTTCAAAATAGGTATCAAATTTCAAGCACTCAGAAGAATGGAAACACAAGGAGCCAGAAATCTATTTCCTTAAATAATGTCATAATCATAACTTCAAGACAATTAACAAAAGAAAATGCCAACAAACCATTAACTGGACCATTTAGCCATTAACAAATGACACCATTTTTTTGATTGCTGTGCTAATTTAAAACTTACTTTTGTACTATTGATATGACCTGTGGGATTCATCTGCACGGAACTTGAAAAAAGCTGAAGACAAAATATATCAAATTTTAAGATACTATATTCAAGATATAAAGTCAGTGATTTGTAAAGTGTAAACTGATCTGTAGAAATTTTCTATAGGAAAAATACTCTGCAGAAAACTCCTAAGTACAACACACAATTTTGTTAGATTTCTCTGAAAGTTTATGGATTTGTAGTTGATATCAATACAGAACTTTCAATGAATACTTAAGAAAAAAATGCAAATATCTACTACTTGTTTCACAAAATAGTTGGAACATAAAAATAAAATATTGTCAAATATTTACATCAACTAGAAGATCTGGATCTATGCTGAACTGCCGTCCGGAAAGCATGGCCTGGAAATCCTCTAAACTGCAATCAATGCTCTCAAGGTAATCCAGGAGTTCAACCCTAAAAGTATGTAAGAACAGCCCATGAATTTTTTAAAGTAATATGCTGTACCCCTGAATCAGATAAAGTGAAAGTCTCTTGATGCAATACAGGCTTTTCAAATAGGTTCAAGGTAACATTTGGGTAACTTAAATTTTTTCAATACCCAAAATCCTGAATAGTTTTCCTGCCCATATCTAAAGCTTGCCATTTATTATCCTTAGCTGATACCTAGAACAGTGTATAAATATAACCATAGAAAGCTCAAAGAACAACCATTAAGACAGCTTGAAATTCAATAGGTATGTTTTTCTAGGTGCCTGCTAATAACTCATGATGTCTGTCAGGACTGGGGACACACACTGATCATGCAAAATGATCTTATAGAAGACCTTCAGTCTCTTAGAAGGGTTTAAAACACAGACTGACATTTGAAACAACAAAGCAAACAGCAAATCTAGGCTAGAACTACCTGTACAATAAACTGAATTCATTATTCAGAGGAACACTGAAGACAGAATGCATCTCTCCCATTATACCTGTTCCAGAAACGAGCAAAACAGTACAAATGAAAATTTTAAATACTCCTGTAGTTCAACTTCATGTTCTTAAAGGAAAGAAAAGCGTGAATTTTAAAGATGACTTGAAACGGTTACTCACTTTCCAAGGAGGTTGATATTTTGTGAGATCACTCCATTCTCACTGAGTATAGAATCCATCATTGAGACAGGATCTTCTGCTGTTAAAGCTGACTGGCTGTTCAACTGAACAGCACTTGACATTAATGGACTTGTGCTATCAGTGGAAGGACTGACAGCATCACTGGATGGAATGGAAACTGGTTCACCATTTGTACTTTCTTGAATTATTGGAGCATAGTCATCTTCATTATCATCTTCTACTATAACAATGTCAGGACTATAGCTGCAATTCAAATTATAGGATTACAGTTAAAGAAACCATCACCACCTTATC